ATTGTCACATGATATCATTTAAAGATCAGCTGTCACATGTAATATTCTCTCATTGCAAGTATTCTCTCAAAGCAGGACACGGTGCTGATATTAAATATGATTTTGCTGCACTGGAAAAGCATATCCTTCATCGATTTGTTAGAGGGAAACCAATGATAACTTCTGATATTTCTATGGAAGTGGTGTATCGTACTGATGTTTTAGATGCTGTCAACTTCCGACAAATACGAAAAAGCATACCACAAGTATATAAACTAACAGTATATGGTTCTAGTATCATTTGTTATAATATAGGAAAGCTTGCCTCAAAGAGAAAAGACTGTCATTCTTAATGACCTTCAAAAGACTCAAAGGGTCCAGCAATGTATTGATACTGTTAACGTGGCTTTAGGGTTTCTCAGGTACTCAAGAATTAGCTCACAACTCCTCATGAAACGCTTCATGCTAAGTCTCAAGATGGAAGGAAAATTGCCTAAATCAGTAAATCACACAAATATGAGATCTACAGTCAAGCCTGCTATTGTGCACACATTAAAATAAGGACATGAACCTCTATAATATTAGGACAAGTATTAGTATCAGCCCCAATGCAATAAAAATGTGTATAAATTAACTTCTCAAATAAGTACACTTCCATAATCAGGGCTGTATTATTGGACCCATTGCAACATGATTATAAGATGTCCAGAATAGAGAGGTTTGACTTAATGACTTCATAGTCTACCAATAAATCTTTACCTTGCATGTAAAAGTGCATTTTATTCTTTCTCACTAAGACTTAGGTTTTTTCTAGCTCTTAATGCTTTTGGAAAAGTCTTTAGACAGCATCTTGTTAGAAAGTTCAAAACCTACTTTACATAAAGGGCATGCATTGGCAGCTTGGTTGCTACAGCTAGACATTGCCATGAAATTTAACATGATCATCAAAAATTTCTTATAATCATGATTAGGTGGAAGATCGATGTGAACTTTGTCATGCTATCTCACTGTGGCGTTTACTCAATGTAGAGCAAGCTAAACAGATTACTAATGGGAAGGAGGTAGTGTGTTTTTCTTCAAGCAAAATAATTTTATTACTCGCAGGATCCATTCCCTAATATTAGCCAAGTTTTTAAAGAACATTTAGATGACAAACAAGAGGAAGTGTTACACATGGCACTGGGCACTTATGATATGGACCAGTTCCTGGAAGTAATATATGAATTCATTGTGACACAAGTTAAAAACAGAAAAGACTATGAAGCAGATGATGAGTATGACAAATAAATTCCACTAATGTTACTTTATTTTTTAGGTTAAATGAGGCTTACATTGATGTTTGTGACTCCTTTGATTTGGAGAAGATTCCAAGTTTTGCTGAGAAGTTTCCGAAAGAGTTTTCCTTGAAGCATGTCACTGAGATATGGAAATATGCTGTTAAATACCAGCAAGAGCAAATTGCTAAACAGCAAAACTAAAAGTTTAGTAGTTAGTACTTAAATAGATCTAGTTCAATATTTTTTTAGAATAATTATCATTAATTATTGCTTATTAGCTATTTTTGTGTAATGCTTACAAACATAATTTTTGCTACCCATAAAGCTACTTTTTCAGTTAATAAAACAATGACACAAATCTGTACACCGGTATAGCTACTAATGTAAGACTACTACAAATAATCAAACTGTTGCAACACTTTGAAGGCTCTTTCTTTGCTGGATCAGTTAGGGTATCAAAATAATTATTCTCTTGAACTAAAAACTCCTTCAGTAAAATGCAAGCCCCTGCAGAAAAGTACGCTCACAAAAATAAATACAATTAATTTTCGATAACTGATCACCCCCATATCCACTAGCGTATTCAAGGGGGGGCTAAAGGGGCTTGAGCACCCCCCTCATGACTGTGCTCAGAAAAAATTAATCAAATCCTGGACTCTTGCATCACTACCAAGCCTCTTAACAAAGTTATCTAGCCCCCTGATTATGATTTCAGCAGTTTCCAGTGCTTTAAGAAGCGATCATAAGTCGTCAAATGTACCAGTATGCTTCGAGGTATGCTTGAAATTATCTTGACCACACCCGTAATTCATGAAAATGAAGGAAAACGCCGTTTTACCGCCGTAAAAGGGGGTGTGGCCAAAATCGCGGCACGCTTCGCACCCTCAGCACTAGGCTCATGCAGATTATGCTCACAGATGATTAAATTATTTGATTCAGAATTGCTCATGAAATCACTTGATTATTCTTCAAAAACACTGCATTATGCTTGCAATTATTCTCATAAATTTGAATTCAAAGTTATTTTTAATCAACTACAGTGATAATTACACAATAATAACAAGTTACTGAACTCATGCATGCAGAAGTTAAGTTGCTATGATCTTTTATTGTATTGTAGCATGAGTGAAGTTTTAATGTAGTCTTCTAAACAATTGTACTGATGATCACCAAATGTATTGGAGAGTAGAGAAAACACTCGCTCAGCTCCTGCTGAAGAGGGTTGTACTAAAAGTGCCTTTTCCAGTACATTTGACCATCTGGGAAGGCCTTCACCGTGCTCTCTCCACCATTGTACAGGATCATAATCAGGATCAACATCAGCTGCTTTAGACATATATGTAGGCAATTCCTCTTTTAAACCATTAATCACAGAATCCTCATTAAGAAATGGAAAAGCTCTTAAAGAATCTACCTCATTGGCCATAGGATTCATTTCATGCATTTTAGAAGGTGATAAAAGTCTAGCAGCTCTAAAAGCATTCATTGATGTTTGTAGTGGACCATCTAAGGCTTCATGAAAATACTGTAATCCTGGTTTTAAACAAGCAATAGCATATGCACTATACTGAGACACTAAGGCTGCATTATTACCTGCTAGCATTTCTGCAACTGCTGTTACATTTGGATAGTGTGCAGCCTGTATAGCAGCTTTAACTTCTTCAATTATTTCGTAGCACTTTAAAACCAGGGGTCCGTCTCCTTCTTAGTTGTAGGTAGCTTTAACAAAATGGGAACCTAAATCAATGACAGCAGCAAGTTCTAGTTTCAACAAGCCCCTTTTGCTAGTATCCACAAGTACCTCTGATAGCTTATTTGCTGTCACAGAAGTTACTTCTTCATTTCCAAGGAACAGAGGTATATCATTGAAATGAGTCAGCATTTGCTCCATTACCTCCCATCTGCTCCACCATCTTGTTTTAGAATACGACTTCATAGAAATTCCTGTCTGTGTTTTCCAAAGTAGCCGATACTTTGGACTGTGTGAAAACAAGGAAATCCATTGTGTGACGAAATTATTCAAAACGGTTGTTTGAAACTTTTCCCCAACATGGTCAAGTGTATGTGCTATGCACCCAACATCCAAAAGTGATGGATAAACAATGCTAAGTGTACACACTGCTACATTATTCACAGAAGCTCGATCACGCATAGCAGCAATAAATAATCCTGTCTTAATTCCTAGGGTAACTGATAAGATGCTGATTAATTCCCTAGCAACTTCCTCTCCTTTCAGGCTTTTAGCCAACAACTCAACACGTACTAATCGTTGCTCAATCTTCATTTGGTGCACATACCGGAGAAGTACCACCAAAACCTCACCAAGTCGTGATGTGCCATCAAATATAACAGACACAAACTTATCTTCGATTTCCTTCTTTATTTGAGCTTTTTCTTCTTTCAGAATAAATGGTATTATATCTAAGAGATGCCTCTTATCAACCAGCCGATATGCACTCTCCTCCAGCAACTCTCGAAAATAGAATACCTTTTCAAAAGGGACACCAGCTCTCAGAAATGTCATGGCCACCTTGACGCGAAAAATACGTTGAGCCTCAGGAAGTGTGTCACCTGCTTGACTTATTTGCTGATCATGCCGTTTTAGTGCATCAGCAAGATCCCGCTCCCTTGCTTCTTTGACACGAAGACGTTCTTGTCCTCTCTTGTGCTTCAAACTCTTCACATGATTCTGAATCACACTCCTCTTTAAACCAATCTCTTCTCTGCAACCAGTGCAAAAGAGTTCAAGTTTCCTAGTGACACCTTGAATGATTCATTAGAAAACTCACGAGCTCTCTGTGCTGGTGTTATTGTCACAGGATCTGCTGCTCCTCTTGCCAACGATTTCCTAGGATTCCTCCTCGACAACACCCGCTTCCTTGAAAGAGAACTGGCTCTGGGTACTTTTAGAGTATTAAGTAGATCTACTACACCAGATGAAGTAGAACAAGAACTAAATTCAGCTACAGTAACAGTAGTGGATACATCAGTAATAATATCAGTGGCGGAGGTAGATTCATCGCTGCTAGAGTCAATAGCCTGAACTTCAAGATCATCAAGGGTGTCTGCCATGCTGTCAGCCATTACTTAATCACGTGACACTTCCGGATATTTACCGTTTATGCTAGCATAATTCTTGTATTCTTCAACCTAGTCATTATGCTCGATATTGTGCTAGCACATTCTGCGCCTCCCTACTCAGCACCCCCCCTTCTCCCGTTTCTGGATAGGCCATTGATACCTCACATGTTCTGTTAACTGGTACACATTTTGTACAATGTAGCAGTGAAGCAAAGTGTGTTACAATTTAACTTTGGGACTAAGAGTTCAGGGTCTACAATTTTTGGGGGAGAAAAAAATTAATTAAAGGTGTGGGCAGCAATTAATTAAACATAAGCCTGTTGGTCGTTCTCCTCCTGCTTTTTGTGTTTTTGTGTGGCAGTTTGAAAATTAAATTCCAAATCAACAAAAACTAAAAGAAAAACATTAAGGGCTCATCCCCTAGCCACACTATCATATAGCTATATGAGCAGGCAAATTACTGTACATGTATGTTTATAACCTTTAAATTTAACATTTTTGCAATGGTAAGTATATTAACATCCATTAATTTTAGCAATTTTTACAACTGAGGTGCATTGACAATCAAACCATATACCGGTTTATTTTCATGGTAAAATATTTTTGTAAATTTCGCGGTTTGGTTATCATTTGCAATAATTTTTCACTACAAAATTCTACTCTCCATTGCCACGTGGTGCAGTCTGCAAGCAATTCGCGAAAATTAATTACACGAAATCTTAGAAATGGAAGATTCGCAGAAATTTTCCACCACAAAAATCAACTACCGTATACGCCATATATTTTTTGGGAATTAAATTTCGTGATTTTCGCATTTTGAAAAAGTTTGCGAATTTAAAATCCACAAAAAACCTTGTTGATTGTATAGTAGCGGTGGTAATTGCATTAAAATCGCAAAATTTTTATTTGCAAATACAAAAATGCAGCCAAATTGGAAATTTATACCTACAAAATATATGGCGTATACAGTATTACCTTTAACAAAATAAGGCCAAACGTTAAAACAGTTAAAATTTTTTATGAAAAATAATTATTAATAGTTTTACAGTAGTTACATTGCTTCATTTTCTCTATTATAGTTCATCACATTCTGCAGCAATTAAGGTTATCTCACCAATAACTGTATCAACATAAATCAAATGAAGACCTTGACCACCTAATAACAAGAAAATAATAAATAAATAAAGAAATCAAAAAGTCGACCAATCACTTGCTCTTGTGCTAAGGAGGAATATAAAAGTGTTTCTATCGCTTGAGAAATTTTGGACAGCAAGGAATCATTCCTTACCCCTGATTGGAACATTTAATCTTTCATAAGAATATCCTAATAAAGAGAGTGTGAAGCAAAAGAAAGATTTGATGAAAGAGAAGAAACTGTATAAGTACAATAATATTCAAACACTATATATTACATGGACCTATTGGTATTGTAATTAAGTAAACATTAGACTGGTATGTACTGCAGTACTACTATTTTAATGGAAATGTAGATGCATGTAAGTCAAGTCTGTTATCATTATTTTTTCTGTCAAACTTGACATATAGAAGTCAAAGAGTATTTTATAGGCATATCACACATTAACATCTGTATCCTAAGTAATCTTGTAATATCTAACATTCCATTTATAGTAATCTGTGAGAGCATTAGTACACAATGACCCCTACATAGTACAAACCAACAATACATTAATTTAGCAACTGAGCTATGGGTACTTACTGAAACAACTTATCAATTAAAAAGAACTTTCATTTGAAAGAGGAGAGAGTAATAAGACAATAATAACAACATACCAATGCATGTATAGCACTTTCATTTGATTAATCTCTGTTATATTTTGGCAATTTGCAAGCAAAATTGCCAATATTAAAATAGCCGTTCATTAACATACATGCTCAGTGACGCAAGTGTACACAAAAATTGCCAAATTACAAACTACCAATTACAATTTGACAGCAAAATTGACAAAATAAGAGCTGCAAAAAGAAAGTGCTATATGATAATCGCAATTTTTCATAATAGAATGTATGAAGAATTGCAAGCATTACCAAAAGCAGTTGGGAAAAACTAAAATTTCTAAAACAAGTACAACAAAACTAACTATTGTAAAAATGTGTCTTTAAGAACGATTTAAAATTAAAAATAATAAAAAATAATTGCAGTATTTCTATTTGTTTTGAGCCTCTCATTTCTTTATCTCCACAAAAATTAAAAGCTCTTAATTGAGGCAATGCCCCACAAAAATCAAAAGTATTAATAGTAAAGCGTAC